TCCTTACCTGCCAGTTTTTTCAGCTCAAAGAAGTCAGCACTCAGCCTTCAAGGACATATTATAAATAGAGCCTTAACAGCCAACTCTCCTTCCTTATCTGAAAACTGACACCAAGCACAGGCAACCAGGACAAAAAGAAAGGCAACAGGGTCAGTAGTGGAGCAGATAATCAATATCTTTAAGTGATATGAGAGCAGAGATTCCCAAAGGGGAGGTGGGGAGAGACCTGAAAATGACAGCCTGAGAAAGCCTGCTGGGCTCTCCCAGGGAGGGGGCGGGGGCAGGCATTGTTTCCAACAGCAGACTCCATGTTACATTTTTTTTTTAATTAAAAAATCTAATTGGTTTTATTCAGTGATTCATGAATTGGGCGGCATCCCATCTAACAAACAGAAGGGTGCTCCCCATATTACAATTCTTATATTTGGCGGTGGGGGGGGGACCCAAAATCTCTTATTCTCACAGTACAAATGACTGAAATTGCAACTCTGCAGAATCTTGACCTCTGGAGCTGTGTAGAGTTGTAGCAGGTCCCAATGGGACAGGAGGTGGGCTCTGAATTCTGAGGTGAGATCATTACCCTGCAGTTTTGGCCATTTGAGACATGAATTCTAAAAGCAGAGAAATGCTTTAATGCAGAGTCTTCAGAAGAGAAGTAGGGCCAGGCAGTTGGAAGGAGTCAGTGCCCAAAAGGTTCCCATAGAGTTTAAAAAGACCATCAAATCCAACCCTTCTGTTTTACAGACAAGGCAGCTGAGGCACAGAGAGAAGTCACTGACATGAGGGCTAATAGGGCCATACCCAGCACTTGCTTTGCCTTGAAGGTGGGGGGGGGGGGGGTATAATGAAAGATCAGGCACTCTCTGAGAAATCATCTTCTAATTCTAATAGAGAATTAAAACTTGCCTTTAGGAGGCTGGGACCAACCCCAGGGTGCTGGCTCAACAGGCTTGAAGGAAGAGACAGGGAAGGCTACAAGAAACACAAAAGCAGATTCCTCCTGCTGTTCTTTGTGGCTTCTATGTGGTTCCTCAAGTAGGTCCTTCCAAAGACCTGAAGTAGTGGGTTAGACAGGAAGGGATGTGGGGAATCCCAAAGCAGCTGTTGGCTTCCGTGCAAATAAAACAACCCCCCTCTAGGGAATAGAGTTTTTATCGATCCTACACAATAAAACACACCAACAGTGATGGTAACTTCATTCTCACACTTCTGTCATCTCTGACCCACACCCTGACCTTTAGCCTGAAGCTGAACCTCATCCTTTCTTTGGCCCTGACCCTAAACCTGCCTCTGATCTTTACCGTGTCTCTGAGCCTGACACGCTCACCCTCATCGAGAACATGACCCTGATTATGAGCCTCACATTGAATGAGATCCTCAACCTGACTTTGACTCTGGTTTTCACTCTGACAGAACATGACCCAGTCCTTCACCCTGTCCTGACACTACCTTGCGTCTTAGCCTGATGCTTGCCCAGACTTTGGCTCTAACTGACATTGACATGGACTGACTCTCATCTTTACCCTCATATTAAAATTGTCCTCTATACTGACTCTGATACTGAGGCTGAGCCTAATCTTGATCCCACAAATGACCTGACCCCCAACTTTCTCCCTGACCCTCACCATATTCCTGCACCTGACTACAGCCCTCACACTGACACTGATCCTTAACCTGGTGATGATTCTAAATATTTCCTCATATTCCCTCTGAATCTGATCCTAATCTTCACTCTGATGCTCACAAAGACTCAGATTCTGAACCTGACCCTCACCAAGATCCTAACCCTAACCTTGATACTCCCAGATACTCAACCAAACTCTTTTCATGACTGAACTCTGACCCTTAACTTGAATGTCACATTGACTCTTATCATAACTCCAAGTCTAACCCTGAACCTGATTCTGAATAAGCTCCTGACCTTAAACCCAGCTCTCACCCTGACCCTATTTTCATCTTGACCTTCATCCTCACCCTGTCTCTGAACCTTACTTTGAACCTGACACTGATCTAACCTTGATCATAGCCTTCATTTTGACCGTGACTCTTACCTAGACCCTATTAAGACTCTTATCTTGATTCAAATCCTTATACTCACTCTAACTCTGACACTGACCTTCCTTTTCGCTTTGACCCTGATTTTGACCCATACCCTTACCATGATCCTTACTCTACATTTCACAGTGATCTTTAACTTGACCCTGAATCTTACCCTCACTTTGACCCTAATATTGATCCTAACTCTGACCATCACCCTAATCTTTACTCCGAAAAATTCACCCTGAATCTCTCTCTAACCTTTGACCCTGTTTGTTTGTTTGTTTATTTATTTATTTATTTATTTATTTATTTATTTAAATTTACATCCAAGTTACTTAGCATATAGTGCAACAATGATTTCAGGAGTAGATTCCTTAATGCCCCTTACTCATTTAGCCCATCCCCCCTCCCACCACCCCTGTAATAGCCCTCTGTTTGTTCTCCATGTTTAAGAGTCTCTTATGTTTTGTCCCCCTCCCTGTTTTTATATTATTTTTGCTTCCCTTCCCTTATGTTCATCTACTTTGTATCTTAAATTCCCCATGAGTGAAGTCGTATGATTTTTGTCTTTCTCTGACTAATTTTGCTTAGCAAATACTCTCTAGTTCCATCCACGTAGTTGCAAATGGCAAGATTTCATTCTTTTTCATTGCCAAGTAACACTCTATTGTATATATATACCACATCTTCTTTACAGCATTCATCTGTCGATGGACATTTGGGCTCTTTCCATACTTTGGCTATTGTTGATAGTGCTGCTATAAACAATGGGGTGCATGTGCCCCCTTCAAAACAGCATACCTGCATCCCTTGGATAAATACCTAGTAGTGCAATTGCTGTGACCCTAATTATAACAATGGCAATGTCACTGACCCTCATTCTTTCATATAACTTGACTCTGACCATAACCCTCACCCTCATATACATTCTGAACCTGACCTTTACTGTGGTCCTTACCTCCTATTCTTGGTACCCTGACTGGTCACCTTTATACTTTTATGAATTTATACTAAACATTATCCTTACCCTGATCTTAATCCTAAGTCTCACAATTACCTTGTCCCAAAAGCTTACCTGACAATGACCCTCAACCTGACCATCACCATGAACCTCATCTCAAACTCTCCATGATCATCTCCCCAAACTGACTCTGATGTCACCCTAACACTGGTTTTGACTTTCTCACCCCTGACCTTTACTTGAACTTGATTCTCACCTGGCTTCTACCTTTAACATGACCCCAATTATCACCCTACATTGAAAGCCCTGAACCAATAATCCTGAAGCAGACCCTGACCAAGACACTACTCTCACACTGACTCAGATCCTGAACTTGACCCTAAGCCTTACCTTATTCTAAACTTTACCCTGATTTTCACTATGTTTTCAATCTGACAGTTGATTATGACCATCAAACTCGCCCTTACTCTGACCAGTTACTTCTGTAATTTGCCCTTAGCCCTTACTCTGACTTAACCCTTAACCCTGACCCTCTCCCTGAATTCTTATTCTCACCATGTTTATATCCTTGTCCTTTACCCACACATGTACACAGAACCTTCCCTTCATTAAACAGACACTAAGTCTCTACTTGACCCTGACCTTCCCTCATTCTGATCTGACCCTGACTCTGACCCTAATATTGACATTTACCCTGTTCCAGACCCTCATTCTAAGCATGCACTTGACTTTGACCCTCACTTTAGAGTGAATCTCATCCATACAATCACCTGACTCTGACCCTAACACCTTGCCTGACATTGATTCCAACCTCACTTTTATCTTTTTTTTCAATCTCACTTTAATCCTTAATTAAACCTCACTCTAATTCTGAAGATTAACCTGACCATGATTGTCACCCCGACACTGATCATTATCCTGAGCCTCACATAATGCTAACCAACCCTGATTGACTTTGACCCTGAAATTGACTCTTACCTTGACTGTCACCTTGATTATGTTAACCTGTCCCTGAGACTTATCCTGCCCATGACCCTTACATTGACCCTCACCCTAAATGTGACTGTCATCTTGACACTGACTGGACTTTAGCTGAACCGACTGTGAACATCACCATGACCCAACTCTCACCTTCACCCTGAACCTATCCCTCACCATATGCCTGATGCTGTGGCCCTAACAATGACCCAGACCCTTATGCTGTCTCTGACCCTCACTATTACCATGACTTTGACCTTGACCTAGAACTTTACTTTCATGACTGAATTTGAGCCTGAAACTCATATGACCCCAACTTTCAGTATTAGCCTGATCCTATCCTTCACCATAATCTTGATGGTGACTCTCACCTGCACCCTTAAACCTTATTCTGATCCTCACCGTGTCCCTGATCCTGCACTTGACCTTGATTTTCACTGGGAACTTGAACCTCAGTCTCAACATGACCATCACCCTTATTCTGATTTGGATGCTCACCTTGACATGAAATCTGATTCTTACTCCTACCTTGACACTTCCCAGATAGTGACCTTCACTTCTGCCCTGTCCCTGAGGTTGACCATGACTGTTAATACCATGACACTCTGATTCTGACTTCTACTTTGATCCATACCTTGACCCAGACTGTCATCTTGTTCTTGACCCTATGAAGCTGACATGATGCTGACCCTCACCCTGGCTGTCTTTAACTGTGACTATGACTCTGCATCAGACTTTAAATCTGACCCTCACTCTGATCCTTATGCTCATTATTTACCTTCTTCACAACACTTATCCTCAATGTGACATTAACTTGGATGTTACCCTGACACTGTATCTGACTTCCTTATTCCTCGAATATTACACTGTCCTCAATGATCAACCTGACCCTGAGTCTGTTCATCATTCTGAAACTAACCAACACCCTGACTTTGACCCTTACATTACTCTCACCCTGAGAGTGAATCTGATTAGAATCCTCACCCTGACCGAGATCCTCATGCCATCACTCCCCTAAACAATGACTATTACCCTGAGCCTCATCTTTACTTTCACCTTGACCCTGATCCTAACTTTCACCAGGACCCGGAACTTCTTTCAGATGTTTGTCCTCACTCTTGACATGACCCATACATGGAATCTCACCCTGACTCTGACAGTGACCTTGATCCTCAACCTGACCCTCACCCTGACCATCACCTTGACAGTGATCCTTAAATCTACACTCACTGTCACTTGGCCCTATATCAGACCTTCTCTTCTCCCTCATCCTAACACTAATCCCTTCCCTGACCATGACCCTCAAGTTGGTCCCAATATACAATCTGACCCAGATCTTTTTTTTAAGATTTTATTTTTAAGTAATCTCTACACCCAACATGGAGCTCAAATCCACAACCCGAAGATCAAAAGTCGCATGCTCCACTAACTGAGCCAGACAGGTTCCCCTCACTCTGACCCAGATCTTGATCCTAACACTGATCCTGACCCCACCATGATCCTAGAACTCACTGTCATCATGACCCTGACCCTCAATCTCACCCTATGACTATCTCTCTGATCTTCAATATGATCCTGACTCTCATAATGGTTCTTATCATGGTTCTGACATTAAAAATGACCTAAGCATTACCACATTGAGTTTGAACATGAAATTTTGTACATTTACATGCTAGTTTCAACTAGATTTCTTACAACTAGTGTATTGCTATACTTTTGAAATCTACATATAATTCTGAACTTGTTTATACTTGTACAGCATGTTTTTAAACATGCTGTGTTGACTGGTCTTCATATGGTCTACCTCAAAGTAAGAAAGTGTCTGAGAACATGTGGTTCTCATTGATCTGCCTCATCGATCTGCCTCAGATAAAGCATGGGTTAATTTTAGCCATCAATAAAAAGTTTATGGAGGGACTAATGTCTGATTTCTTCTTTATTGTTAGTCTGTTCATGCAAATATGATTTTCAATGATGTTTGCTTTAACTCACAATTAGAAGTTACTGTGTGAAGAATACCGTGTAAATCTGGCCTCCTTTTCACATATATGGCTTGAGTTCCTCTTGTTCTAACTCATAGGAAGAAAATGCAGTGAATGTGCAGATGAATGCAGATAAATGTAAGTGTCTGAGGTTTCTCGGGTCGTGCCATACACACATCTCTGTGTAGGCAAACAGAAGTGGAACTGAAAAAAATGTGTGTTAGAGCAAAGAGGCTTCATCTCAAGATATTTCTCTCAAAATAAAGTCCTTAGTGCTTCTTAGAGTACATGGAGATGAACAGAGGCATGGATGAATGTGTGCCTTTCATCTCCAAGGCACAGCCTTACTGTGAGGTTACAGCAAGCAAGGAAGAGTCCAGGAGTGGTAGTGAAAAGAATCTGTACTGATATAGACAACCTCAGTGTCAGACTTCCCTCTCAAAAATAAACCCTTATTGCATCTCAGAGTAAAACAAGATAAACACAAGGACAGAAAACACATTTCAAAACACATTATTCTTAAAAAGAGAAAAATAGATAAAAACATAGTTTTTTTTTTTTCAACGTTTATTTATTTTTGGGACAGAGAGAGACAGAGCATGAACGGGGGAGGGGCAGAGAGAGAGAGGGAGACACAGACTCGGAAACAGGCTCCAGGCTCTGAGCCATCAGCCCAGAGCCTGACGCGGGGCTCGAACTCACGGACTGCGAGATTGTGACCTGGCTGAAGTCGGACGCTTAACCGACTGCGCCACCCAGGCGCCCAGATAAAAACATAGTTTTAATTGACTCTTTGTTCTTAAAATATCTGTGGATTGGCAAAATATGCAAACGACTTTGGGTAGTAATACATATGAAGTTGTATTTGCCTTCTCAAAGCTTTATTATTTATTTAAATAATCTTTATACCCAATGTGGGGCTTGAACTCACAACGCCAAGATCAAGAGTTAAACACTCTGCCGACTAAGCCAGCCCTTCAAAGCTTTCAATTAATGTGAAATAAATGCTCATAAAAATTACCTGGTGGTTTTTAACCTTTCGTACTCTAGGTGTCTCTTGTGTCTAGAGAAAAAAAAATGGTTAAAAAAAGTGTTTGCTGTAGGTAGTTGATTATTCTGGGTACAAACGCTACAGAGAGATACAGGTCTAAGTACAGGATTTGATTTTCTGTTTCTTTTTAACAGTTATGCAGTTCACCCACATAATAAATTTCAGATGATATACTGCTTTATTTATGCGACTGACAACTGTATTTTAAAGCTATAGTTTAAGGGGCACCTGGCGGGCTCAGTCCATGGGCATGCAACTCTTGATCTTGGGGTTGTGGGTTTGAGCCCCATGTTGGGTGTGGAGGTTGCTTAAAAATAAAATCTTAGGGGCGCCTGGGTGGCTCAGTCGGTTGAGCGGCCAACTTCGGCTCAGGTCATGATCTCGTGGTCCGTGAGTTCAAGCCCCGCGTCGGGCTCTGTGCTGACAGCTCAGAGCCTGGAGCCTATTTCAGATTCTGTGTCTCCCTCTCTCTGATCCTCCCCCGTTCATGCTGTGTCTCTCTCTGTCTCAAAAATAAATAAACATTAAAAAAAAAAATTCAAAAAAATTAAATCTTAAAAAAAATAAAGCTATAGTTTAAATTATCTATATGTCTTATATCTATATATGTCTTTTTTTAGGTAAGTTCTTTACCCACTGTGGGGCTTAAACTCACAACCTCAAGGTCAAGCACTGCATGCTCTACTGACTGAACCAGCCAAGTACCCCACATATCTATATATGTCTGGAGGCAGACAATTTGTTACATAAGTAATGTACCAAAAGAGTAAAATTAGGATTTGAGGCTTTTGTGTAAAATGACTTATTTTATGCCCAGATCAGAAGTTCCTTTTTGTCACCAGCTATTAATTATTGGTTAATATTAATGCTCATGCTTTTTGCATACTCTTTAATCATTTTCTTAGTGATTCAGATACTCAATCAAATTTTATTTAATAAAAAGATTTTTTTTAATATTTATTATTTTTGAGAGACAGAGACAGAGCACGAGGGGCGGAGGGGCAGAGAGAGAGAGGGAGACACAGAATCCGAAGCAGGCTCCAGGCTCCTGAGCTGTCAGCACAGAGCCCAGGGCAGGGCTCAAACCCACAAACCATGAGATCATGACCTGAGCTGACGTCTGACACTTAACTGATTGAGCGACCCAGGCATCCCTAATTTTATGTTTTTAAAGTTGAAAATGTTATCACATAGTTAAGTTCACCCTTTGGACATAGACAAATTCCAGAAATTAAGTCACTTCAGGTGACTAGCATAAATCCCCTTACCGGGGGTTGCCAGGTTACAAAAAATAAAAGTACAAATATTTATACTGATTGAAAATGTGCTTTTGAGGTAGTCCACAAATTCAGAAATCCGATATAAATTGGGCATTAAAGAACTTTTAGAAAATTTGCTATGACCTAAGAAAAGAGCTATAATAAAAATAAAAGGTCAAAGCTAAAGACCAGTATTCTCACAGTAATTCTTTGTCTGACCACTACGTTAGTGTTAACCCAGATAGATACCTTATAAACAAATGGACAAGACAAGTCTTGGAGAAATTCAAAGAGGCTGTTACTAACTGTCAGAAAGAAGTCTCCAACTCATTGCATCTCAGGATGGCTGATTATACCAAGACACTTGAAAATGGAGTTTAACAAAAGTTCTTCATGATGTTACTCCTAAAACAAAGGTAAATCAGCAACAATATTCAGCTAACACTGGTGGCCTCGTTTCAGGTGTAGATGCCAAAGATGTTTCCAAAGCAAGTCTTACCTGGCAACTGCACAGTCCTGACAAAATAATCAAGGTGGGTCATGGACAGGAACCAAGGGCCCTATGGTCTTATGAACACCTCCACCTGGACTTCATACAAATACTTTTTGCAGTGTATTAGAAATTGTTCCATTTATTGTGTATTTATTCTCAGCGCGCAATGAAGTTTTACCTTGCTGGAAAGCTACACCCATACATGGGGTGAGGGGTGTAGGGGATGGCTTGGTTTTGCTTTCGCACCTGGCAAATTCTCACTCACAGGGGAGGGGCAGAGAGAGAGGCAGACACAGATTCCGAAGCAGGCTCCAGGCTCTGAGTTGTCAGCACAAAGCCCGGCGCCGGGCTCAAACTCACAAACCGTGAGATCATCACCTAAGCCGAAGTCTGACGCTTAACCGACTGAGCCACCCAGGTGCCCCGATTAAGTACTTTTTACATAGAAACTTCACTGTCCCTGGTATCTCCAAGTTCTCAAGAATTATAGAGAGAACAGAATTTTAAAGTAAAATCAACAAAGCTCTCAGAAATCCTCAAAATCCCACCACCCCAACTCCCATGAGCTTTCCAATCTGTGAGATCAACCCCTTCCGGGATCCACACATTTTCTCCTTATTCTGCAGGGGCGAAACTTCCTCAAAGGGTCAGGTGGTTGGGCCCATTCTTCTCTTGGGTGGAAGGGAGCAAGCAGCAACAGATCTCTGCTTGCTTCTTTCCCACTTCCTTTACCTGTGGCCCAGTGACAGATTGCAAGTTTTACACCATCCAACGTCCTTTTGCAGTTTAATTTTTGTGGGCCTCCACGCATGCTCGCTGGCAGGAAGTACCACTGTTGGCAAAGTTCGCAGAGAGGAGCAGCAGCCCCTGCACGCTCCTCAGAACCCCGGGCGGTCAGCACTCACTGTTGCTAGGGAACGCGCGCGGCAATCCCCTTGACCCTGTCAATTACTGACCTTTGGGGAAAAGCCGCCTGGCTGACTATCAAGCATGCTCCGACTACTCCGGGTGCTTTGGCTGCCAGATTGCTGTTCTGGAAGAGGGAGAGCTAGGGAGAGCCGTCAGCACCCGCCAGGACCGCCTGCTGCGGCGGCCGGGGGGGGGGGGGGGGGGGGGGGCC